TGGATCCATTATTGCTCTCCGATGAGAGTTTTCTTACACATATCTCCACACATATACATTTTTTTTTAAGTATAAATAAAACACCGGATGTGTCCAATGCAACGATTTGGGAAGCCCTGAAAGCCTATTTGAGGGGTGAAATTATATCATTTGCAGCACACAAAAATAAGTGTTTAAAACAGAAACAAACTGAAATTGCTGATCATATTCTGAACATAGACAGACAATATGCTAATTCGCCCTCACCTGAACTTTACAAAGAACGTTTAAAACTCCAGACAGAATTCAACCTTCTTTCCTCTCGTCAAGTTGCCGACCAGTTGCTGAGAAGCAGAAGTACTTTTTACGAGCATGGTGACAAGATTGGTAAACTCCTGGCCAACCAACTGCGCGGATTTAGAGCGAAGCAACTTATCCCTGGAATACGGACAGACAGTGGGTGTACAACATCGGATCAGAAACTTATTAACGAAAAGTTCCAAATATTTTATTCTAATTTGTATAGTTCGGATTGTACAGCAGACGTAACTGCCATGGAAACCTTTTTTAGTAACCTGAACATGCCTTCCCTTTCTCAAGACCTGAGGCATAGCCTTGAGGCACCTATTACGCAGAAGGAAATTATTGCTGCAATAACATCTATGCAATCAGGTAAATCTCCTGGCCCAGATGGACTTTCTTCTGACTTTTTAAAGAAATTTTCAGCTGAATTATCGCCCTTTTTATGTTCAGTATTCTCAGACTCATTTGTCTCAGGTAAACTTCCCCCTTCGTTCTACCAGGCCTGTATCTCCCTGTTGTTAAAAAAGGATAAAGACCCTCTAGATTGTGCATCATACAGACCAATTTCGCTATTGAATACGGACGTAAAGATACTTGCCAAAATCCTCGCCCACAGATTGGAGGATATTCTTCCATTTATCATTTCCCCCGACCAAACTGGCTTTATAAAGGGACGCCACTCATTTTATAATATACGTCGGTTAATGAACATTTTGTATTCCCCCAAGAATACTGTATCAGAATGCCTCGCTTCTATGGATGCTGAAAAAGCATTTGATAGAGTAGAATGGAATTACTTATTTTTTACCCTTGAAAAATTTGGTCTGGGTCCTGTTTTCATTTCTTGGGTTAAACTTTTATATGCATGCCCTTCAGCCTCAGTATTAACAAACAGCCGTTACTCGAGTAGTTTTGATTTGCATCGTGGGACCCGGCAGGGTTGTCCTTTGAGCCCACTCCTTTTTGCTATTGCAATCGAACCTCTTGCGATTGCCATTCGCGGAAACGAACGGATACAGGGGATATGGAGAGGAGGAATCGAGCATAAGGTGTCTTTATACGCTGATGACTTACTTTTGTTTGTCTCAAAGCCAGCCACCTCCCTACCGGAGGCACTTACTGTGTTAGAGGTCTTTAGTCAATTTTCAGGCTATAAACTTAACTTAAGTAAGAGCGAACTCTTTCCAATTAATACAGAAGCACTTAAACTCAAGTATACTGCTCTCCCACTCAAGGTGGTGACAGATAATCTGAGTTACCTTGGGGTATGTTTTACCAGGAATTTTAAAAACCTATTCAAATCGAACTTCCTCAAATTATTGGATCAGACGAAGCAAATATTATCGAAGTGGTCTCTGTCTTTTTCTCTTATAGGTAGAATAAATTCAATTAAAATGACACTTCTCCCAAAGTTCCTATATCTTTTCCAATGTCTCCCCATTTTTCTCCCTAAATCCTTTTTTCAGGCCCTTGACTCTTTAATGATAAATTATATTTGGAATGGTAAACACCCTCGGTTACGGAAAGCTTTTCTTCAAAGACCCAAACAAACAGGTGGAATGGCCCTCCCTAATTTCCAATATTACTACTGGGCTGCTAATATTCGTTCTTTAGTGTATTGGGTGCATTTTCACCTCGACGACTCAGCCCCAGTCTGGGTAACAATGGAGTCCAGCGCCATTAGCACATTGTCTCTATCTGCCCTCTTAAGCGCCGCACTCCCACTCTCCTCGGCTATTCCTAATGGTTTCCCTGTGATTAAGCACGCTCTTCGAATCTGGACCCAATTTAGGAAGAATTTTGGGCTTCAAATTTTTTCACTTCTCAGCCCAATTGCAGCGAACCATTTGTTTGCTCCCTCGATGGTGGATGGTGCATTTAAGATCTGGCATAAAAAAGGCTTGAAATGCATTGGCGATTTATTTATTAATGACCTATTTGCTAGTTTTTCTCAATTGACAAAAAACTTCGGTTTGGTAAAGACTAATTTTTTCAGATTTTTACAAATCAGGCATTATATACAGAAGTTGATTCCCCAATTCCCCAATAAACCCCCAGACAACCCTGTCGATAAGTTTCTTTCTGTTAACCCCACATTAAAAGGCACAATTTCTGTTTTTTACAACCTTATTTCAAAGTTGCATAGCCCCTCATTAGCAGCTATAAGAACCATGTGGGAGCAGGACCTAGGTTCTGCCTTCACAGATCACATGTGGGATTCAGTCCTGGATCGGATTCATTCTACCTCCATGTGTGCCCGACATGCTCTTGTGCAATTTAAAGTAGTACACCGTATTCACATATCTAAAACCAAACTAGCTCGTATGTTCCCTGATGTGGACCCGACCTGTGATAGCTGTAAGAGCGCACCTGCGTCACTCTTTCACATGTACTGGACGTGTCCCACCTTGAATGAGTTCTGGACATCAGTGTTTCAAACGTTGTCTGAAGTACTTCAGCATCAGATTGAGCCAAACCCGTTTACTGGCATCTTTGGCATTGCTCCAAATTTGGCCTTGCCTAAAGCGAAGCTGAAAGTATTGGCCTTTACCTCCTTATTAGAGAAATGGAAGCTTTAGCGTTAAGTTCTGCCAGGAAGACTCAATTGCTACGTCACTTATTACCTTCTCATCTATCCAATCGTGTCTAATACTTGCGGTATAAAAGACCAGTACTTACACATGTTTGAGTTCGCAGATGCTGACGCTTTCATTCACCTCCATCCTCCCCACCACCACCAGGATGGTCCCTTCCCCTCCATCCTCCCCACCACCACCAGGATGGTCCCTTCCTATACCTCACAGGGGGTCGGCTGCGCCCCTGCCTTCGTCTTCAGGCAGGAAATGCAGAGTCCGGACCCTCGGATTGCGAACTATGGACGGGGCCTACGCCAAAGAACTTTATTGCTTGCTGGGCTATCAATAAATGTATTTATTGTTACAGTATTTATTCTCCCGAGTCTTTCTGGTAGAACTGTGGTAAGCAGAACTAGGCTACTGTCACAACACTTAGGCTATGTAGGAACCCACTACCCAGTTACGCATTATTTACACATCTGCATATTTGACGATTACGCATTATATTAGAATTGTAATGAGACAATAATGAGTAATGAGTTTGTAAACCATGTTTTTCTTCAAAATAAAAGCTCGATGCCGTTTCCGTCAAAATAAAAGCTTTTATTTTTCAGTGCATTTGTTTTACAACATATGGCTATTACTGCAATGGGATTAATATTATAACTATTATTATGTAGTAGTGTAATGTTTTAGGATGTTTAGGTATTTTTGTTGGAAAACGACCAACACACTATTTTAGAAAGTTTTTTTTTTTTTTTTTTTTTTTTTTTTTTTTTTTGGTTGATGTTTTTGCAGTATGCAGCAATCTGTATGAATTTTAGCAATTCAGGATGGCCTTATATAGTTCAGTGCACTTCCTGGAATTTCCCAAAAAAAACAGCAGGAATTTGGAGGCTTGTAGTCTGGATGAGGCAAGACTTCTGTTGACTGTCTCAACAAGTTCAGTTTAGGCTGTATTTTCTCTTTGCAAGTTTCTTTACACTGTATAAAATGATTTGTACAATTAGTTATCACAACTTAAATTTAGCAGTTTTGTTGTTGTGATGACTCAAAAATCCAAGTTCATTAAGCTTAAAATGTTAAGGTATCATGAACACTTACTTTTTTTAAGTTGAAACTACATATTATTAGTTATTCTAATATTCTAATGTACAAGCGGATCTTGATTAGTAAAACCTGACCGGGTTTTTATAGCAGTAGCTGATCCAGATCTCCAAACCAGTCCTGCAAGACTGATTTTGACTGTATTGCTCTCAAATATTCAAGAAAAATTGCATTTCGCTATTTTGCATTACAATTTATTATTTTATATATTTATATATTTTGTATATATAAATACACACACATGCATGTATATATTTAAGAAATATTTGCATGTATATACTGTATTGATATATAATTTATATTATATATAAAATATAAATATTTTATATATAAATAACACATTTTTCTTAAATATATACATGCACGTGTGTGTATTTAATATATACAAAATAATTATACACAGCACACACACACATATATTATGTAAACACGATTAATCGTTGCCCAGCTCTAATTACAATGCAATGAAAAAAAAAAAACTTTGTAAATGTATTACATGATTATAAAGTACAAACTCAGTGTGCTGGTTCCAGATTAGTGACCTTTAGAACTTAAACGTTTAAATGCATTTCACTCCAGGAATAACTGATCCAAGCTGTTTTTTGGCAACCAAAACAATGTGTGAGCTGATTGCTAATAGCCCTTATTTTGCAGCGCCCCAGTTTTGCCTTGTTATTCAGTCCAGAACCTAAAGCTTAACATTGATTCACAGAAAGGCAAACAGGGAATCAGTGAGGACATTTTCCTCTCTCTGACTGGAAGCTAATCCAAAACTGTGACCAGGGGCCACTTTAGATCTCATGTTACACAGCACGAGAAGGAGGTTTAACAAAGAAACACACTGCCGTTTGCCTGGTTTGGCCTGTCTTACACAGTGTGGTTGGAAGTGATCATATCTTGAATGTGTGTGTATACATTTTGGAAATCCAAAGCTTGTTTTGGCAGTGTTTGCACAAGACAACCAAAGCGTCGACAGGATTGGCTGAGTCATACAAAAGGTAAAGTAAACCTCCCTGAATGTTTTTGTTCAGCACGTATACTGGTAATGCCTCAAACAAAGATCAAGACTAATGTGCTAAAAAGCCGATATTTTCATAATGTGTTAGGTGATATCTGTGGGCACATGGTTCGATATATCTTGTTAAACGGCCTCTTGATGGTATGTTTCTTATTTTGGTATGGATTAATAGAGTGTTTGAGGTTTGATGTTGGGCTGAATGCGCATATTTGAGCTACACCGTGCAGATAGGTTGGAAAAGAAAGCCAGTGGGAGGAGCTGGAGGGGATTTGATGTGGGATTTAGGAAAGGAAGAGAAAGAGAGAAGTTCCTAACAGTAAGGACTCGGCCATCAAGGATGAGACAAGTATCTTGTACTGAACAGCTGCAGAGTTTTCGTTTTTGCTTGTTACCTCAAGAGATTTCTACGATATAATTTGTTCCAGCTAACAAATGGATTATTATCTGAAAACACGAACAGGTAATTCCAGGATAGTGATGTAGATGCAGGACAGATCAAACATAAACACAGAAATGCTTTCATTCTGACTGTTTTCTTTTAATGCGCTCTCATAAATCAGTCCTGATGCTTTTTGGTAAATATTATGAAATTCTGAAAGGTTGTATGGTCAGGGCCAAACTTGTTGCACTTTAAAGTGGTTTCAGACATGAGACATTTCTTATGTGAAGTAAATGTTGGTCTGGATTGTATAAAAGTGCTCAAATTGTGCCCCAAAATGTATATAGCCTTATGTATAGCTTATATGATAATGTATTATTCACTGACCAGCAGTTTGGCAACAGTTCTTCTAACTATAGACACAAAGGAAGGAAGGAACCATGTAGGAAGATCATGGCCATATTCCAGGACGACAAACTCATTGGACGTCTTTGGGATGTGCTGGAGGAGACTTGACAGAGTGCTGGACTCTTGCGTTGTCAATACAAGACTTTGACCAAAAATTGATGCACCTCTTGATGGAAATAAACACAACATTTATTTCCATTGAGTCCAGCTTCAATGACAAATGACAATGAGACTTTCAATGAATTTAAGTTCTGGACTTTCCATGCCAATACACATGTGAAACTGATTCTTCATGATCCTCCCAACCATTCTTTCACAGTTTGAGCCGGATGAATCTTGACATGTTCATCCTGGAATATGGCCATGATGTGTCTTCCTACATGGTTGTTTAAGAAATGAAAAGCTACACACTCCATCAATTAGGGTTAGAAGAACTGTTACCAAATATATAACATGCTAGAAACATAATAATCACAGCAATAATGATCCAATCATAGACTCTCAAGCATTTGCCTATTTAAATCCAAACTGAGACTTTTTTTGTGGCCAGGCAGAGTATAAAACAATATGATATAAGCTATGCATAAAATAAATGAAGGCTGTATACATTTTGGGGCACAATTTGAGCATTTTTATACAATCCAGACCAACCTCTGCCTTCCACAAGTGTTTTCTGTGTATATTTCCATTTTTCAACCACAACCATGTCTATTGTTTATGCTAAATGTACTAAAAAATACTCTGGCTGTAAAATTGTAAACATCTTGCACTCTCTCTCACTCTCTCTCTCTGTGTGTGTATTTACAGCTTTCTAAAAGATGGATTTGAGGTCGACGCAACTCTCTGCACTGACTTGTCTACTCTTTGTGTCGTGCTGTTGTCATGGTGGAAATATCCTGGTGTTGCCCGAGGATGGCAGTCACTGGGTGAACATGCAAGTGATTATGAGGAATCTCCACACCCACGGCCATAGCCTCACAGTGGTGCGTCCGTCTAAAAGTTGGTACATCCAAGAGAATTCCTCCCTCTACAACACCATCACCATCAACCCAATGGAGACCGAAGACGTCGGCCCTGACTACTTTAAGATGTTGATAGAGAGGTCGCTAGCACTGCAAAGGATGTCGCCCTTCGTTCGTTTCTTTGAACAACAGAAGGATATCACCAATATGCTGAAAGTGTTTCACAACGGAGCTCTTCAAATGATTTCGGCCATTTTGGATGATGCATCGCTTGTCGAACGCTTGCGAGAGGCCAAGTTTGACCTGCTTCTAACAGACCCGGCGTTCCCAATCGGAGTCCTTTTAGCCAATTTCCTCCACCTTCCCTTGGTTTACAATGTACGTTGGCTAAATGCTGGGGATGCTCACATGCAAATCGCTCCATCACCTCCATCCTACATCCCAATGTATAATTCATTGCTCCACGACCACATGAGCTTCATGCAACGGACGGAAAATGTCGTACGGCATCTGTTCAGCCTACTTCAGGAGCGATACATAATCGTGCCAATTTACAGCGAACTGCTTGAGCGCCACTTCCCGCCTGGCACTGATCTTCTCTCAGTGCAGCAATCTGCTGACATTTGGTTGATGAGAGTGGACTTTGTCTTTGAGTTTCCACGACCCACCATGCCTAACGTGGTCTACATCGGTGGCTTTCAATGTCAGCCGGCTCAAGCCCTTCCCGAGGATCTGGAAGAGTTTATGCAGAGCTCTGGAGAGCATGGAGTAGTCATCATGTCTTTAGGAGCTGTGGTCGGTGCTCTCCCTAAAACGATCACAGAAGCCATTGCTACAGCCTTTGCTGAGATCCCTCAGAAAGTCGTGTGGAGGTACCATGGGGAACGACCCTCGACCTTGGGAAACAACACTTTACTCCTAGAGTGGTTTCCTCAGAATGATCTCCTGGGCCATCCGAAGACTCGCGTGTTTGTATCTCATGGCGGCACCAATGGTATCTTTGAAGCGATTTACCATGGAGTCCCGGTCTTAGCGTTACCGATCCTCTTTGACCAGTTTGACAACGTTCTGCGGCTGCAGGTCCGAGGTGCGGCTCGAGTGCTTCACGTCGCAACGCTCACGTCGCAAGAATTCCTCGAAGGCCTCAAAGACGTCCTGGAGAACCCGCTGTACCAAAGCAACATCCGCAAACTGTCAGAGTTGCATCGCGATCGGCCCTTGTCTCCTCTTGATAGTGCCACTTTTTGGATTGAGTATGTCATGAGACACAAAGGAGCAGCTCATCTTCGCTCTGAGGCGAATAATTTGCCTTGGTACTCGTACCACAACCTAGATGTGTTGGCATTTCTACTGGCGTTCACTGCGATTGCTCTTTTGACCTCAGTATATGTCTGCAAGCTTTTGTGTGGCAGGAAGTCAATCAAAAAGAGGAAGGTGGACTGAACTGAACTTTTGATATGCTCTTGTTCTATATGTACTTATTGCAAAACTGGGTGTAACTCAATTAAATGTCATGCAGTTTACAAAAATCTTTTTCTATCCAACTACGGTCCATTCAGGGTTTTCACATGAAATCTGATTTCCCAAGTTATGAAATGGCGAAACATTTGCTGATAAATGCATTCTGGCCGAGGTCATGGGTTTGATTCCCAGGGAATGCATGCACTGATAGTCTCATACATGGTGAATACATACGCTTGTTTCATTACTGTGGCTACCAATGTGGATGTGTTCACAAAAACAACTGTCGGCCACATGTAAGTTGTACATGCAATGCCTGAATATTGTTTAGCAATATTTTAGTGTGTTTTTACAGTGTTAGATGAGGTATTAACAAGTATAGTTCTGACTTTATGGTTGTGACTGCTAAAAAAAAAACCTAATGTAAACGGAATAATAAAGCATATATACATTGTACTTTAAACTACACTCAAAGATGGTACCTTTACAACAGCTTGTCACCGGGGCAGTACCCTTAAAAGGACATCTTTGTACAGTTTTTCCTCCCTTAAAAGGTGCATATTAGTAGCAAAATGCACCTTAAGGTTAGCCTGGTTAAAACCAGACCATTCTCAGTTGTAACTGAGTTATGGTCTGGCAAAGCGTCATAGACAAATCATTTCCAGAGGGGCGTCACCAACGGACGTCGCGGATAGACCTAAACCCAATCAGAGCGATGAAGGAGATGACGTATGCAGAGCGGCGGAGAAACATCTCCGAGTGTTGTTCTTTGCTCGGTTTTTAACAAAAAGGAAACGTTCAAATCGCTTAAAACAGACGCGATAGCTGATTGGAACGAGTGATGTTCGACGGCGGCATCCATCATTGTAATGTAGGCTACAAAATCTGCTTCAAAATCCCAGCGCTGTCGTCATCCAACATGACATCATGACTTTGCGTAAACATACACGCCACTTTCAATTCAAGTGGCGTGTTATCTATACGCATTTTGAGGTATCCGCGTGTATGTCCACGCCGAAATCTTTTGCGTGTATGTCTACGCCATTAAATGTCCGAGTGATTCCGCGTGTATGTGTACGCCGTTAAATGTCCGAGCGAAACGAAGCAAAATCTATATCTACATCTGTGGAGCGATATTTCTTTTCCTAGGATGGTAGGAGAAGACTCATAAATGGTATTAACCCCAGTGACGGGTAGGTTTAGGGACGGGGTTGGGGTAGGTCATATATTTATATATACATAATACAGTAATATAACGTTAAGTCAAAGGCGTTGATAAACACGCTGAAAAGCGATTATGCGTGTTGATAGCACGCCAAAAATGAAAATACGAATTGGCGTGTCATACATACGCCATTTCATGAGATCAGTCTGCGTCATCGTGTAAAGCCCGCCCCAACGTTTCTGATTGGTGCCGCGATTTCGGCGGATTGGAAATGAGCTTGAATGAGCTCTTTGCCAGACTAACTTTCAGAGCAAATCTAAATTTGCTGGAAGTTGTCTGGGTTTTCCCAGGCTACCTTAAGGTACTACTATTAACCTTTTAGGGGTAAAAAAAAAAAAAAAAAAAAAGGTACAAAGATGTCCGAAGTACTGCCCCAGTGGCAAATTGTTGTACTTTAGGTAAAAATGTTGCAATTTCTTTCTAAGAGTGTATGTTATTCTGACTGTGGTGTCTTCACCAAATCCTCAACACATAATCTAGTGCCTATTAAGAAGCCAACAAGATGTATTCCCAGTTCAGCCTTGATATTGTTCCTTCCCCCACTGTGAATGTGTTTTTAATCATCATTAAAGGTTCAATAGGCAACATCTTTGCTTGTTCCAGTTCTAATCCACTTCCTGGTATTTCTTATCTCAGGTCATGAATTCTTTCCTGCTCTCATTCATTTACCACATGTTCACATCTGCAGAATAAAAGCGAATAAGCAGCATTCATAGCACACCACACAAACAGCCATGTTTAGAAATTGGTCATATTTAAATTAATACAATTTAAGCATCATTTTATATACACTCGCCAGCCACTTTCTTGTACACATTAGTTTCTAGTTTCATGTTGTTTACACCAAATTCTGACCCAACAATCTGAATGTCGCAGCAGAAATAGAGACTCATCAGACCAGGCAACATTTTTCCAATCTTGTATTGTCCAGTTTTGGTGTCCCGTGTGAATCGTAGCCTCAGTTTCTCAGCGGACAGGAGTGTCACCGGTGTGTAGCTCGTCTGCTTCAAGGTTTGATGTGCTGTGTGTTCAGAGATGCTCTTCTGTGTTCAGAGATGCTCTTCTGTGTTCAGAGATGCTCTTCTGTGTTCAGAGATGCTCTTCTGCGTTCAGAGATGCTCTTCTGTGCTCTTCTGTGTTCAGAGATGCTCTTCTGTGTTCAGAGATGCTCTTCTGTGTTCAGAGATGCTCTTCTGTGTTCAGAGATGCTCTTCTGTGTTCAGAGATGCTCTTCTGTGTTCAGAGATGCTCTTCTGTGTTCAGAGATGCTCTTCTGTGTTCAGAGATGCTCTTCTGTGTTCAGAGATGCTCTTCTGCGTTCAGAGATGCTCTTCTGTGCTCTTCTGTGTTCAGAGATGCTCTTCTGTGTTCAGAGATGCTCTTCTGTGTTCAGAGATGCTCTTCTGTGTTCAGAGATGCTCTTCTGCGTTCAGAGATGCTCGTTCAGAGATGCTCTTCTGCGTTCAGAGATGCTCTTCTGTGTTCAGAGATGCTCTTCTGCGTTCAGAGATGCTCTTCTGAGTTCAGAGATGCTCTTCTGTGTTCAGAGATGCTCTTCTGTGTTCAGAGATGCTCTTCTGCGTTCAGAGATGCTCTTCTGTGTTCAGAGATGCTCTTCTGCGTTCAGAGATGCTCTTCTGCGTTCAGAGATGCTCTTCTGTGTTCAGAGATGCTCTTCTGTGTTCAGAGATGCTCTTCTGCGTTCAGAGATGCTCTTCTGCGTTCAGAGATGCTCTTTTGCGTTCAGAGATGCTCTTCTGCGTTCAGAGATGCTCTTCTGTGTTCAGAGATGCTCTTCTGTGTTCAGAGATGCTCTTCTGAGTTCAGAGATGCTCTTCTGTGTTCAGAGATGCTCTTCTGTGTTCAGAGATGCTCTTCTGTGTTCAGAGATGCTCTTCTTCAGGTCTCGGTTGAAACGAGTGCTTATTTGAGTTACTGTTGCCTTTCTATCAGCTTGAACCAATTATTCTCCTCTGACATTTGTCATCAACAAGGCTTTTTTTCCCACAGAACTGTCGCTCGCTGGATATCTCTTCTTTTTTTGCCCATTCTCTGTAAACCCTAGAGATGGTTGTGTGTGAAAGTCCAAGTTAATCCTCAGTTTTCCAAAATTGCCAGCCCAGGATTACTTTGTTCTCAAATGTACATTGGCTGGTAAAACATCTATTGTTTGCTTTTTACATTGTGTCGATATACACCAATCAAAACAGTGTCCAGTAAACGTGGGGTAGAGGGGTGTCACAGGGGACATGGAAACGAATGTAAGGGTGTTACAGCTTGTCTCTTAGTGGCCCTTCCGTCTGAAAGAACAGCCTGGACTCTCTCATATCTCTGCCTCACATAATGGCCTGTAGGCAGGAGGGTGTTTTTGTTCTGAAGGAGAAAGGCTTCAGGATGTTGCTGCTCAAAAGCAGTAGAAGTGGTTTCCTGCTGGGGGAAATGATCAAAAAGCCAGACAAGCCCCTGGTTGGACACTTTCCACTCGAATTCATACACACACATACAGGTTCATGCACATGGAGCTGGACATGCAGAAGACGCTCTCCAGACCTAATCGAGGTGAGGATATTTCTCCTTTTTTAATAAATACATGCATATTCTGGAACTGTTGATTGTTGTATATTTGAAATGTTTTATCTGACGACAAACATTATTTCTATAGATGTGACGTTTCTGTGCTCTGCTAAGGTTGCTTAATCGTTGTCAGAGGCGACTGGAAAAACTCAGAGGAGAGGAGAGGTTTGGTTCAACACGTTTAATGAAGAGTTTGAAGATTCAAATGTCATGGACAAGTCACAACCATAGAAACCATGATTCTGAGTAAGTTGTCATTCTTCTGCACACAAACACAACAAAAACAACTAGAGATGCACATTATTGGCCGATACCGACTGATACATTCTTCATGAATGATTGACATTAAAATTTGGTACTGTTTTGTCTGAATAAATTAAAAATAAAGTTATATTAAATCTCATTTATAGCATTTATTTGCTGTATTTATTTGATAAAAAATACAGTAAAATAATTAAAAAAAATTAAATCTTATTACAATTTAAAATAACTTTTCTATTTTATTATATTTTAACATGTGATTTATTCCTGTGATCAAAGCTGTATTTTTAGCATAATTTCTCCAGTCTTCAGTGTCACATGATCCTTCAGAAATCACTCTAATATGATGATTTGCTGCTCAAGAAACATTATTATTATTATCAATGCTGAAAACAGTTGCGCTGCTCTGCTTCATAGTTTTGTGGAAATGTTGATGCATTTTTTTTCAGGACTCTTTGACGAACAGAAAGTTAATTTATTTGGAATAGAAACCTTTTGTAACAAAGTAAAAGTCTTTACTCTCAATTCTCATCAATTAAACGTGTCCTTGCTGAATACAAGTATTAATTCATTTAAACAACAAAAACAAACTTTTGAATAGTATTTCATTTACTAAAGAGTTGTTAAATTTTTTTAATAGGTTGAACGTTAGATGATGACAAAGTTCAATTTAATGCAAAAATGCATGCACGATTAAAAATCCAATATCGACCAATACTGATTCTTATGAAAGGCAAAAATGTCCAATATTTTCGGATTACCAATATTTTGTGCATTTGACCTACAGTAGTCGACATTTGAAGTGGATCAAAACCTTTCATCAAAGTTATACAGGAATTTTGAACAATACCCGTTCTTGTCTTGGACAACTTTTTGATCCACTTCAAATGTTGACTACTGTATTTGAGCGATTTACACTTCAGATTTGAGCAATTCTTTCCCCTTATTTTCCACAGACCTGACCAATGGGAGCTGCCAAATCCCTCTGGAAAATGACAGAGTGGGTCTGACCTACATCTACAGCCTTGCCTTCTCTATCGGACTCCCAGTCAACCTGCTGTCCCTGTGGGGCCTGTACCAGCTGGGCCGGTCTGGTGGAGGCGGCTGCCAGCTGGTCTACATCCTCAACTTACTGCTTTCCGATCTTCTCCAGCTCCTCACCTTGCCTCTGTGGATCCTTTACCTGCAGGGAGACCACCGCTGGCCTTACGGGTCCGTGACGTGCCAGCTAGTGGGCTACGTTTTCTACGTTAACCTCTATGCCAGCGTCATTTTCCTTTGCCTCATCGCCCTGGACCGCTGTCTAGCGATCGTGTATCCTCTTAGCAGCCGTGGCGTGCGGAAAGTGCGTGTGGCAGCCCTTTCTGGTGTAGTTGTGTGGACGGTGATATTTCTGTTCTGCCTGACTGGCCTGTACCCATCTGTGTTCGAGCCCCAGAGAGAGCTGTGTCTGGAGCAGTACCCTGTTAGCACCAGATACGCTTACTTCAAAATTGCCACAGTTGCGTTAGGGTTCCTGATGCCCTGCTCTATACTAGGGTAAGTGAAAGGCACATGTTTTGCAGTTTCAGTGCAGCTGGGTCAATGAAATAATGCTCTTATTGGATCCAGATCTAATAATCTATTTAAAAACACATTAAGGGCCGGATTTACTAACAGCTTGCGCCAGCGCAAACCCTGTTTTGATGTTAAAAACTACTGTCAGGTTTTACTAAAGAAACTCAGTGAAGAAACAGTGCTGACAAGGCGTGGACAATGTTATTTTTGCGGCTGACCATTTCAAACGCACAATTAATGGGAGGAGAGTATTTAAATGAATCTTGCAAGGTGATTTACATAAACAATAATCATTTTTTTTAAACGGTTACCAGTTACCACACAATACAAATATTAAAGCCCAAAAAATATGTATCCTGGCAACTTTCATGACAGTAAAAATCACTAAAAGCCTTCCTTCCGCTGGAAAAAATAGTCCCTGACTGTGAACTGCAACAGAAGTTACATTATTTCGCCTTTAGATGGCGGCAAAAGACTTTATGAGTGAGTCAGTCAGTAAAGAAGACTTTTACATTGAAAGGCCTGAACCTTGTGAACACGGAGAAGCAAGACAACGATGCGTGTCAGGGCACGGGAAAGCCCCTAATTAGCTGTTAAAAGGACAAGATATCGCAGCGAACTTTCAAACAGATTTTTTATTACGAATATAGGACTGAGCTGATGGAAAATGCTATATCTACTGTAAATGCAGGGACAATCGCTTACTCGATTTCTCACAATACTCTAACGTTACTCTAAAACCTTCAAAGAACAATATCAATGAGAACATGTTTACGTTGCTAAGAGTGGTTGCTAGGGGTGTTGTGTAGTGATACATAGCACCGGGTGAAGCGGTCATATAGCCGTGTTTTATCGTGAATAAAACACTATAATCATAGACGGTAAAAGAAATGGACACAGCGACCGCATAGACTTTAACGGAGAAAAGTGAAGTCAATTAGAAGCACTCTCTTCCTGATTGCCAAGCATACTGCGCAGGCTCAAACTGAGCTTGACGACGTAGATGTGACGTGAGCAACTTGTACGTCTTCTAGTAGTTGTGCCAAGAGGAATCTGAATCATTCCCTTCCGAATTCTTGCAGAGCCGGAGTTCGTGAGTATTAGATGTCCATGAGCAGCAGGAGCAACTTTATGACTCTCTATGGGCTTCTCCCTTGACTTTATGCCTCCACGTCCCCCCGATTGCGCGCGAGCTTCTACTTCTGTCTATACGGTAATTTCTCTACTGCGCGACAGAGAGTCGCATGTTATGACGCAATCGTTAGCCTATTTTTACAAAAACTGCTTCTACGGGGCCATAACGTAAGATTCAAGGTAATGGAGACTTTTATACATTGTCGTGTTTCTTTAGAAATAAACAATGGACAAATGGAGTCTTTAAACGCCTCAGATGTAAAGTTATTCGCTGTCAAAGTGACACAAAAATGAATGGGAGTCAATGGGATGCTAACAGCAGGTGAAGGCTTGTTAGCCAATGGCGGCCCCCGGGGAGACTTCAGTGTCCGGCTGGTGGATTACCCCCTTGACTATAATCAAGGGGGTAATCCATCAGCCGGAAGTTGAAGCTGCCTCCGGGGGCCGCCATTGTAGCTGGCTATCACCTGCTGTTAGCATCCCATTGACTCCCATTCATTTTGGCGTCACTTTGACAGCGATTAACTTTACATCTGAGGCGTCCAAAGACTCCATTTGTCCATTATTTATTTCTAAAGAAACACGACAATGTATAAAAGGCTCCATTACTTTGTATCTTACGTTATGGCCCCGTAGAAGCAGTTTTTGTAAAAATAGGCTAACGATTGCGTCATAACCACGAGACGCTCTGTCGCACAGTAGAAAAATTACCGTATAGACAGAAGGAGAAGCTCGTAGGCAATCGTTTACTGTCTATGAGGCAATCGGGTGGACATGGAGGCATAAAGTCAAGGGATAAGCCCATAGATAGAGAGTTAATAAAAGCAACGGGACAAAATATTTCAACAACAGATTTGTTTCAGATTTCAATTCAGATTTGTCCCGGCACAGCTACTAGAAGGTCAGAACGGTTGCTCACGTGACAACTACGTCGGCAAGCTCAGTTTGAGCCTGCGCAGAACGCTTGGCTATCAGGAAGTGAGTGCCCATGTTGGGCTTCAACTCTCTCCGTTGAAATCAACGGGGTCGCTGTGTCCATTTCTTTTACTGTCTATGACTATAATTCGCCTTTGGCTAAGCCACACCCTAGAATGTAGATTGACCAATCACAGCGCAGCCAAGAACGAGCTCCCACAGAGGTCCGACACTTTTTCACAGCGCTCCATTGGCTTTAACACAGGCGTCTCATATGTTGGTCTTGGCAGGCTATTATCGTCGTAGTTTTATCAAAAATATGGTTAAACGTTGTGCCTGGGGCATTTGTAACACAGATAAGCGTTTCCCAGAGAGGTTGGAGGGGGGTGTCCGTTTTTTTCCCTTCCCAAAACCGAAGTCAAATCCTGACAAGTGTCGTCTAGCACACGCTGCTAATAAATACAACATTATACTCGCGTAGTCCGTTTGCTTCGTAATAACGATTATAGAAGTGAATAGAGACCTACCCAGCTTTGCATGAACAGTGTTGCTCCTTGATATTATTAGTCCCAGCCTCCGTCTCGATTAGTAGGATATGCGGTGGTTCATTTTTTGACTGTGACCGGTATGCTTTTGCCTCTATTTGGATGCCTTGTTGTTCCTTGCGTTTCACCTGTATGTCGTGAATTTAGTCTTCGAACGTATATTGCAGCCCCTTTTTGCCTACTTCTATCGGACACTTTATTTGCTGCTTTATAAAAGTTTGATAAAATTTTAGCAGGAAGAGCTGTCACAGCATAAGCCATGTTGATACCAGAGCCCAGATTAAGTTTGTTTGTCGGACATAGCCACAGTAACTAAGGGGGGTGGGGCTTAGCCAAAGGCGATTTGACCAGTCAGAATCAAGATCTCCAACTACCCGTTTTATAAGGTGTGCTATAATTTACTGGTATTTGTGCCATTATTTGCCAGATGCTAATTTGCGCTGTTCTTGGTAAATTGCGTTGGTCAGGCAAATTGCTTTGTTCTTTACTTTGATCGTCCACAGAACTTTCCATTCCCATCTGCGCTTTTATGGGATTGTGCTCTTATGCCTCTAATTTCCCTGTTTACCGAATCTGGCCCTAAAAATGCAACTTGCACACATGCAGTAGCAACAGTCATGCCCAAAAGTTTTGGCAGTGACATGCATTTTGTCTTTCGCAAAGTTTGCTACTTCAGTCGCTGTGGTGTTGATTTCTAGTCATTGTGCTTATTGAGTGATCAGATGCATTTTAAATAATTTCAAAAACCTTCATTGGCCAACAAATATTAACTTTATCACAAAACCCAAATTGAATTGTCTTTGGGCCTGGCCCAAAATGACCAACATCATTTCACTAATCAAATCATCAACATGGGAAAGTGTGAACGAGTACTAGGCAGGTGAATCACTATCATTCTGACTGAAAGAACCATTTACCGGATCATCAAGAACTTCGAGGAGAGCGGTTCAACAACTTCAACTGCATTGAAGAAGGCTTCAGGACGTCCCAGACTGTCCGGCAAGCACCAGGAGCTGCTCAATATTGGGAGGAGGTGGTGTGAGTGAGTGCATCTGCACAGTGAGGGAAAGACTTTTGGACAAGGGCCTGGTGTCAAGAAGGCCAGCAAAGAAGACACTTCTCTCCAAGAAAAACACCAAGGACAGACTGAAATTCTCCAGGAAGTACAAGATTTTGACAGCAGAAGACTGTTGTGGAGTTATTTCCCCTTCTGACTGTTTGGGACATCTGGAAAATCGATTAACTCTGTAGAAGAAAAGGTGAACCCTACTACGAGTCCTGAGACCACCAGTGTGTGGGATTGCTTTTCATCCAAGGTATAGTGGGTTCTCTCACAATTCTGCCCAAAATCACTGCCAGGAATAAAGATTATAGTATCAAAAATTCCACAAAAGCAACTTCTCCCAACGATCCAGGAGCAATTTGGTGAAGATTCGTGCATTTTCTAGCATGATGTCACAAAGCAAGAATGATAATGAAGTGGCTCGGAGATCATTACTTTGAAATTTTGGATCTGTGGTCAGGCAACTTGGATTTAACCCCAAAGAGAACTTGTGGACAAGTAGAAGTCCTCAAATTGTGATCATCTACTCACAATAAGGCAAGAATGGATCGGCATCAGACAGGATTTGGCCTAGAAGCTGCCAGAGTGAATTAGGAGGTTGTGAAGAAGGGTCAGCACTGTAAATATTGACTCTTTGCATATATTGAAAGGTTTTGCCAATAAAAGCCTTTCAATTAAATGCGTATCACTGTTTTCCAGTATATCATAGAAACTTGTAAAACTTTTTTTTTTTTTAATCTACAAGTACTGAAGCAGCGATCTTTGCAAAACACCAAATTTATGACACTGCCAAAACTTTTGGCCATGACTGTACACCTCTTTTCAGATTTTTAATTGTTAACTAAAACTATTAAAAACATTTCTGTTGTAAATAAAGTAAAACATAAATATTACTTGAAACCCATAAACTAAACGAACATAAGAAATGTTGCCATGGCAATAAACTGAAATACGTTTTAGTTGAAATGGAAAAAAATATTATTATTATTATTATAGTTGAAGTGCTAAAACTAATATTATTATTATATATATATATATATATATATATATATATATATATATATATATACACAAACTTTTATGTTAGATGCGATTAATCAATTTGACAGCCCTAATATATTTTAAATCTATATTTTAGATTTTTACTATGAGGTTTCACTACATAACTTTTTAAGCATAATTAATTTAAAATGTTAGACAAAAATGGAATAAACATTTTTCATACAAAATGAAACCAACATGAGTACATTTCTAAGAACTTGGCACGTGTTTGAAACTAGATTTCGAGGGGTGAGAACCAGAGGCGTAAGTGACATTTTAGGTGAAATGGAGATATATATCAACTGAAGGCTCTTTATGAGCTCTTTCAAAGGACACAATTCATTGCTTAACCAATTTGGAGTTATTCATTATAAGCCAAAAGACTTAACTCCGAACAAACTAAGTCAGTTGGTGCCTTTTTGGTGCTAAAAGGGCGTAACTCTACTTATGCTAGTCTTTTGGCATTGAGAAATGTATTGTGGGTAAAGGCTCTGGATACCACATGAGTCAAAATGGCTGACACCATATGTAAGCCAGGTAGGTTAACCATGAGAAGAAAACAGTTTTTAATTGCCTGAAGATATTAAGCTTATTTCTTGGAAAAGAGCTGGATGATGATGGAGAAAATGAAAACATCCAAAACCACGACCCACCAAAACAGAAAGACACACGCCCGAGAACATACAAAAATTATATTAAAGTTGAATTTTGTAAACCTTATAAAAAAAAGTTGAAAATTGCTTAACTAATTTTGATGAGTTAAAGCAATGTAAAAACATTATGTTGACATAACTTATTGATCATAAATCTATTTTAGTTATCATATTTTCTTTAATAAATAAAAAAAATCAGAATAAATGTTAAAACAGTGTTCAATAAGTATACTGTCATCCATGCGTGTTCACATTTTTCATAATAAAAGATTGAAATCAGTAAACAAAGTCGGATCAAACAATGGTAATATTTTGTTTTGGCCCTCCGGTAAAGTTGGTGAAATGTCACTTACTGGTTCTCACAGAGACGCTCTTATCTGTCACTGCCCCCGGGACTGTGTGTGCTGAGACAACATGTTTCTAATGTGCAAATAAATAGCAACCCGTATTTATTTGCACATTAGAAACATGTTGTCTCAGCACACACAGCCCCAGGAATGAATCAGCATACCGGCAAAATGCCACCGCAAAGATGACGAACACAGATACAACGTCTGTCTCTTTAAAGGAATGTTACTTCAACACAATCATAATAACCATATCATTCTTAACCATTTGGCCTTTATTCACGTTCAGGTACACCTCGGCCCGAATCGGGTTGACTCTACGAAACTCGCCGTCTGTCCCGGATCACGAACGCCGCAGGATCGTCGCCACCCTGGTTGTCATCACTGTCATCTTCATTGTCATTTTTGCTCCTTATCATCTAGTGGTCGGCTACAGATTTGTCACCCTGCTTCTTACGGAGAGTGAAAAAGACCAATGTTCAGTGGAAGTTTCCCTCTACCTTTACTATCGAATCTGCTACGGGCTCACAAGCCTCAACACCCTCCTAGACCCTCTTTTCTACTTCTTTCTTTGCAACGACGCTCGCCAAGAGCTTCGCAGATCTCTCTTCTGCCCCTGCCGGGGTCAAAGGGCACACCGGGGATCGCGAGTACAGACTCTTCCCAAAGGCTGTGCAGATGTTTAGCTGTCGTCTTGTGCAGATGCTAATCGGGGGTTGGTGTCTTTGTAAGGCATGGGCTGAAACCAAGGTTGTTGTTCTTTTCACACATGACGTGAAAACGTCTTATCAGGCTGAGATTTGACTAATTACCTGTCGTGATGTCATTAAGACATGACTGGTATGAGACATTTGCACGTCCTCTGGATCGCTGTCACTGGGAAATACACACCTTCAGCATCTTCAGTCAAGTGTTAAGACTCCTAGACAGCCTGAGGAGACTCGAATACACAACAACTGTCTCTATATTGCTCAAAATACTTTATAAGTTCAGGTGTAACCGTTCAAAAGTTTGGGGTTTTGAAGGAAGGGCTCTTATCCTCACCAAGGCTGCACTTATTTGAGGAAAAATGCTGTAAAAAATGACTTAAAATGTGATTAAAAATGTAATTTATTTTCCTGTGATCAAAGCATTATTACTCCAGTCTTCAGTGTCACACTATCCTTCAGAAATCATTCTAATATGCTGATTTCTGCTATTAAGAAACATTTTTTAATTATAATGTATAATCAATGTTGAAAATAGTTGTGCTGCTTCATATTTTGGATGAAACCATGATACGTTTCTTAATGTAAAAGTCTTTACTGTCCCTTTTGATCAGTTTTTGTGTGCCCTTGCTAAAGAAAAGTATTAAATGATTTCTTTCAGGAAAAACAAAGACCCCAAACTTTCGAATGGTAGTGTATATATTTTGTCAAACATCTGTAAAATATGTGGTATGCTCTGTTCTTTGTTTTAACAGAAACACTAATCGTGTGCAGTGATTAAAGTGAAAAACAAGTTTAGGCTATCTATAGAAGTGGCTCAGGATTATAGAGAAAGCTGCATAAAAACCAAAGATCCTGGATCAGAGCGACTTTTAAAATGGTTTTAAGGATTTCCAAATCATGTCTGACACCTCCTGGAAGATATATGTAAAGGCAGGCAATGTGTCATGTTGTCAGATCAGCGTTTGTTGAGCAATGCACTGAGAATATAACAGAGAGTGAGACTGCATGTGCTTGCTTTGGATTCATTTACACGATGGGCTGAAATGTAGCTATATGTTCAAGCATACTGCAGCTATCAATATGTTCACTTCCGCAAGAAACTGGCTAATATATACACCTTTTTCCTACTGCGTTTTAGATTACGGGAGGCACTTCCGGTTTGGGAAAGTTCCACTCAAAAAGACTGAAACAAATCATTTCAAATAATAAGGTTGCACTACAAATATTCATTAACCGTCAGTTTGATTGAATGAGCTGTCAATTTTCCTTCATGTTCTATTTTTAGACGTCAGGATAATAAAGTGATGGTAGGCTATTAACTATTGCAATTGGTATTAACAATAACAATCTATGGCGATGGGTCTTTTCAGTCGCTGCATTCATTTATTCCTGATAAATTTCTAGTTCCGCCCCCTTTGTATTCCGCCGTAATAGTAGATATGAAAAGGAACATACTGCACATTTATGATCTGCTCTCCCGATTTATTTTAAGATAATAGTTCACTGAAATAGTCGACAATTGAGTCTTTTTTTCTACTCAAGTCTGTTTGTTTTCACACGGATGCTTTAAAATATCTCCCATTTTCACTTCTAATCCCTATTAGCAGTGTTTTTAAAGCATGTAGCCTAGATACAATATTAATAATACATCACTTTGAAATGGCATCACTGTTCCAGCTAATGAACATCTGTGATTAAAGCAACAAATGAAAATACTTAGGCTTTTGGGATTATTCATGGTTTGTTGTAATTTGTTAATGCTTTTACACTTTTAAATGTCTTTGTAATGGTTGAAGGGAGAGTAGAATAATGTCATCTCAATTTATCCAGTAAAAAAAAAAAAAAAATCCATTCATATAGCGAACCTTTCCCTGATTGTTTACAGTTTAACGGAAGTTACTCCCCACAATCCGCGCAAAGCATCACGGGGCGTAAAAAAGGTGGATTTTCCTTTCTTTTTTTTCTTTCTTTTTTTTTACAGTCTATGGGATTTTCAGAAATAATAATGTACAGCTTTACTGTGCAGTTTATGCCGCCTATTGTTTTTTAAATAGAATGTGAAACAGTATGAGTATATCAATAAACACTTATAAACAGTAATCTTAAACAAACAGTAATCTGGTGCGTTGTTTTCATATGGCCTTAGGCTATACAGTTCGTTTTTTTTTTTTTTTTTTTTGAAGTCTTAAATAAATAATTAGTAAAGCAAATAGTGGTTGATACTACTTCAATTGGCACACTGTAAATAAACGTTCATTTCATAACTACTCATCAGCAGTTCCTAATTGTTTTAGAGGGCTGCCAAAAATGTGAAATGGATTTATTAAAAGGCTTGAGATAATCAGTGTTGCCATGATGTTCTTTTCCTGTGCCTCCAGAGGGATTAGTCCCATGCAGTGTTACAAGTAACGCAAGTTGTAATCAGATTACTTTTTCAAGTAATTAGTAATGCATTACATTTCAATTTCATTTCATTCTTTGTGGCAAGTTACTTTGTTTTCATTCTTTGTGGCAAGTTACTTTGTTACTGTCCGCAAGTTACTTTGTTTTCCCATGTATTGACTGCCAGCTCTCCTGTCCCCATGCATGTTGAGAGGAAACGAGAGTAAGTGGATCATGTTACTGTTTTGGTGTGAAAGGGACTTCAGATTTGTTAAAAATAAACCTTTTTTATTGTTTTGTTTTTGTTATTTAAAAGAAAACAAGCCCAGCCTTTGTAAAAAGTAACGCAATTTAATAACGTAATGGATTCCTTACCACAAAAGTAACTAAGTAAAGCAATTAGTTACTTTTTTAGGGAGCAACTCAGTATAGTGCATTATTTTTTAAATAACTTCCCCAACACTGGTCCTAAACCAGTTAAAGCCCAAATAAGTGTCTCAGAACAAAAACCTATGGAACATAAAGAGACAATGCCAATTTTCAAACCAATGTCTGCATTTAATAAGCACTAAAACATTTTTTTAAATAAAAGCTATAGATAAATAAATACTAATAATCAAATTGAGTACCTTAAAAACATATTTTATAATTGAAAAATATATATTTCATTTAATAATTTTTTTATTGCAAATTTAATTTTGTCGCAACTTAAAAAATGTTTGGAACCACAAGTTTTGAATACATAAACATCAATTCTCATTTCAGTAGTTCCTGATTGTGTTACGCTGCATGACTGATGTATGATTCTGCATAATAACATGTTAAAATGTTACGACAGTGAAGTCAGAAATCACACTGATGTTTGTGAAAATATATTTCTTTAGATTAAGATATTTTCTCTAGGCTCAACAATCTACATTTAAAACCTTGTGAGAACAGACATACATACAGTCACACATACCCTCCGTCTAATGTCACTACATTTGCATGTGTTTAGAGTCCTTTCATAAAAAGGGGAGCTTTGTGTTGTTTTCTTTGGCTAGACATCACAGTTTTCCTCGCACCTGTTCAACAGGCTGAGCGCAGCGTCATGCAAAATGACAAATCTGCCTCAGTGAGAAAAATCTGCAAATCAGCATATTAGAATGATCATGTGACACTGAAGAAATGTCAGTAACTTCCAAATCCACTTCACAGTGTCTTGGATCTGTTCAGATATCCTCTGATGCGTGACACATGTCCTCCAACATCTGCTGTCTTCAGCTGTTACACCGTCAACCCCCTCCTGAGTTCCTCACCCTCTCATTTGGTCAAACTGTTTGACATGTCATTCCTCACACATCACTTAGTCGACCAACATCCTGGAAAAGTTCACACCTTATGTGTGTGGCCTATCCCAGACAATTTGATGTACTTTTTAGTTAACCTTAATGGCACTTTTGTTTCATATCAGTCCTCATGCGCAACAGTCATGAAGCTGTAAGATTTCACTATCCAACATCAGTTAAAAAAAGTATTGTAAGAATATATAGTTCAGTGGTTATGCAGGGATTTGATTACATATTCCATGGTATTTTAATGTTGCCATAAAGTATTTCAATTATTTATTCAGCAGCGTATCAATTTCGCATTATTTATCATGCGGTTGGTTAAGGTGTTATAACCATAGACTGTAAAAAAATAGGGTTATAACAGGCACCTCATCATGTTCAACAAAAATTGTCATATTTTCAATGACATTTTAAATGAGTCCTGATTCAAAAAGAAATACACTGGATATTTTAAATGTTTGACATATAAAATCAATCGGTTGTGGCTAGTGCACCAAAGCCTTCAAAGTGTGTTTTAAAATTAGTACATTTAATTTATCATGTGGTTGCAGGGTGTTAGAAAAGGCCCCAAAGCATCTGGCATTGCCTCATCATGTTTAACAAACATTTTCCCTGAGGTAGGCTTAAAACTGGGGTCTTTACAGGCCTTGTATCTACATATAAGTTTTTGTGAATCAGTCAAAAACCAGATCCACCCAAATATAACAACTAACTACACAACTGGCTCTAATGAGAGTAAGACAAACCCGGCGAACGAGGATCCGCGAACACTGGGTCCGCGTCGACCGGCCCCTGACATTTCCACCAATCACGGCGCACGAGTTTAGGTGAGTGGCAGCTCAGTAGACCAATCACGACCACAAACTCTACAATGGGCGTGGCTAGAGTGGAGAGGGGTGGGGATTTCGGGGTCATTCACAGACAGTCTTGCTGCTCCACTCTGACGGCGTGTGTTGGAGGGGAAGGGTGAAGCAGCACAGCAGCACTACAGTCTTATTAAAGAACAAACGTCCCAATCAACGGCGTTTTCAGACGTAGTAGAAAGGATTCTCACGAAAATCATATGCAAGGAACCGTGAGTTCAAGTGCCAGAAGGCGTCGGTGACCGTTGATCAACGGCTGCGCTAGCTGTTGTGCTAACAACACTCGTCATCAGACAACATCAATCCAATCCGTTTCTAACTGAAATACCGCGAGCTTCTCTCGCGCTTTAGCCAGCAGTCATTGAGTTGATTTGCCCCGCTGGAAAGGGTGTTGGAGCTGAACCCCTTCCTGTGGCTCCTGTGCTCCCCCGTCACCTTTGCCCCCCTCTTTCACCCGAAACACTGGACACACACAAGCGGCCGGAGAACGGCGAGAGGCCCGTGAAGCTGGGGGTGGTACCGGACTCGCTCGCTTTAGGAGCGCCTAAAGAAAGGCTCAGTCGTGGGGACTC